TTAGTCACAAACACTGGCCAAATATTAGTTTTTTGCTTTTTTCACACAAAACAAATATGAACGCTAACTTTGGCCAGTGTTTGTGACTAAGTGGCTACTAAAAAAGACTAAACATACCCCACGTTCAATACCTTGGGTTGTCTACTTTTTCAAATGGTCTGCCATTATGGGGGTAATTCTCATTCCTGGGCTACCACACCGTCTCAAAGGTAACATTACTAATCTGGCAAATTTCAATTTGAAAATGGAATGTTCTATATTTGACCCTGTAACTTTCCAAAACTCCATAAAACCTGTTAATGTGGGGTACTGTTGTACTCGTGAGACATTGCTGATTACAAATATGTGCATTTTTTTGCAGTAAAACCTAACAGTATTATGACATTCACAGCTAAAATGTCAGACGGAAATACAAATTAAAAAAATAAAATCTTATTTTCTCACATTTTTTTTAATTTTATTCATAATAAATTATGTTCCATATATGAATAGTTAATAATAAATTAAAGCCCTGTTTCTCCTGAACAAAATGATATATATTAAGTATGGGTGCACTTAATGTGACAGCAGTAAATTACGGTTGAACAGACATATAGCACAAATTCGATTTTTTGTTTACATTTTGTTTTGATCAGAACGTGTACTATTGACTCCGTCCTGAAGGGGTTAATGGGATTATGTACTGTTAGTCTCTGGATACCTTTAAGGACACTTTTACCTGGGTAGGATGCTAGAAATTGAGTTTTGTTGGGATAACTGGTTAACATGTAGTGTTGTATGCCCGTTAAGTAAAGTTTGATTGTATTGTAATTTAAGAGAAATGTGGCAAAAAGTTGTAAATGCGACCATAATTTCTACGGAAAAAACATTTATTACACAATAATCACGAACAAACCTTTTTTTTATTTTTTTTTATTTTTTTTTTAATTCTTTATTTTGGTGGTGCAAAGCAAGGTCATGGTATTACATTACAGTATTAGCCAGACATTGGCTGCAATATTGTACAATGGTAAAGCTTTAACAGAGCACCTTTTTGGTTTTATAGATAGATTAACAAGAATGAACAGTAGATTTGAGTTAAAGGTAAAGGGTTAAGACCAATAGTAGAGGCATATCAGTATAATAGCATCATAAGTGTTACATAATAGGTTTCTCAGACTGATTCTGCAGATGATCTTAAGCTGAGATGTGAGGAAGCTTAAGAAGTTAGTGACAAGCTGCCATGGTAGGGTACGTTCAACTCGCGTATAGTGCTGCATAGCATGCTATTCCAAGTACATATGTTTTCCAAACCATAAAGTTAAATGTGCACGTTTTATAATATTAGGTTCTGTCAACATTCACTGTACCCGGCTAGGAGACAATAAGTAATTAGACAAGCCCGGTAGGTAATTAGACTAAGCCTATGTACTGAGTCTACATGTAGCTACATGGATCGGCTCACTACTACGTAACTGTTAAGTAGCATTTCAATAAGACTGTACATCATAGTCAAGGAGAAAAAGAGAAAAAAAAAAAGGGGAAAAAATACAGCTTACTTGAATGTAGGCTATTCTAAGCATTAGCACACTTAGTATTCATTCGTTTGACTGCAAATGATATGCTACCCCTCCTGTGCTATCAAAGTGAGACAAGAAAGAAAAAAAAAAAAAAAAAAGTCCATTGTTCAGGCTTGGCGCCCCCCCCATGGTGCGCAGGTCGGGCTCTCAGGGGTGTATATAGCGTTTTACAGTTCCCTATGCAGGTCCTGCAAGGTATGTCCTTTTTCAAGTGGTGGCCTTGGCGTATGGGTCCGTGGTTGTTCTCCGGGGCATCGGCTGAGTATGTTCTTTGTGGGCGCGTTGTGCCTGCTGGTCGTGTCGTCGGAGCCAGTGATTCCGTGGGAAGGCCAAGTAGAGTCAGCGTCCCAGTGGCCTCTTGCATGTTGTGGAGAGTATGTTTGTTACCTCCAGCTTCAATGGTGAGGGTGCGACCTGGTCCCCAGCGGTACCGAATTTGATGGAGGCGCAGGAGAGCTGTGAATGGGCTCATGTGTCTCCTCCATGCCAGTGTCCCACCCGACAGGTCCGCGTAAAATGAGAGGGTCATTCTCTCAAAGGGATACGTGGGCTGTCCTCTAACGGTGTCTAGGACTGCTTTTTTGTCCTTGAGTGACTGGAATTGGAGAATTAGGTCACCTGTTGCAGCTGGTGGGGCCTTTGCCGGGCGCGGTATGCGGAATATGCCTTCCAAGGCAGTTGCTTTCGCTGCTTTTGGGGTTAGTAGCTCTGTAAGTAATCTCCTAACGAAATGTGGGAGTTCGGTCTCTGGAACGGAGTCGGCTACTCCCCTTAGCTTTATATTGTTCCGACGATTTTTATCTTCGTGAGTGGCAAGTTGCTGTTCATGCTGCCGAGCTTGTTGTTGTAGGTTTCGGATCGCTTCTTGGCGGGCTGCAATCTGGTTGGTGTGGCCGGTGGAGGAGGCTTCTACTGCTCCCAGCCTATTGGTGATGCCTCTGATGTCCTCTCTGAGCAGGGCCACATCATCCGCAATTTTCTTGTGGTGATCGGCCATAAGTGCTCCGATCGCCTCCATTGTGACAGGGGTGTGTGGCTTAGTGGATGGCTGCGCCTGGGTTGGTGACTGGGTCGGCATGGACCCCATGGGGTCTCCCCCGTCATCCTCCGATGATCCGTCAGTGAAATCTGAGCAGCCTCCGTGCAGGGACGCCATCTTGGCTCCACGAACAAACCTTTTAAACAAATCATATGCTCTTGAATATGCTTTTTTTTGTATTAAGAGACAAACCAGCCTGTGCGAGCGACTATGGAGTAACAGAGTATTTAAAGCATGATTAGGTCTGTGAAGCTCAGAGGTTGTCTGGGTTGTGCGTTTGCCGATGGATGGATTCTGAAAAACTCCTGTAAATTAGAGCGTGAGAGAGCGTCAGCTGCGTTGTTCTGAACACCAGACACTTGTATGCAATAGATACAGAATTGTAGGTTTGCTGCTAGCCAGGTAAGTCTCCTAACCAATTTCATAATGGTAAGGGACTGAGAGCGGCCTTTGTTAATATCACATGCCGCCATGTTATCTGAAAAGCACCTGACTGACTGTCCACGCCATTCCTTACCCCATATGTGAGCAGCAGCTACGATTGGGAATACTTTGAATAGTGCTGAGGTGGTACTGAAGTTCACTAGTGTGGTAGTCTCTAGTGGCCAAGAGTTGTACATCCATTCGTTGCCAAAAATAGTTGCGTAACCTATGGCACCCGATGCATCAGTCCAAACTACCGGGGAGTCGTCAGAAATAGGGGGGACGAATAGCGTCCTGCCATTCCAAGATGACAGAAATAGATGCCACATTTTAAGATCTGCTCTAGCTGGTTTGTCTAAGAGGGTTGTGGAGTCGTCGTCAGGGAGCCCGTGAAGGAAAGAGAGAATTCTGGAAATGAAAGATCTCCCCTGTGGTATTATTCTCATCGCAAAATTAAGTGACCCGAGTAGTGACTGTAGCTGTTTCCTGGTGCAAGAGCCTTGTGATGTGCAGATGTTGATATAAGAGAGAATTCTGTCTATTTTTTCTTGGGGGAGGCTGGCTTGTATAGACATGGAATTAAGTGTAATACCCAGGAAAGTAATCTCGGTTTTGGGACCTTCTGTTTTGTCTGGGGCAACAGGGACTCCTAGATCTTTGAAAATAGAGAGCATGTGACGTAGGCTGCTTGGTGTGCAGTGGTGTGGTTCGATGGTGAGGAAGTCGTCTAAATAGTGGATGACTTCTGGACATCTGCACTTGTTAAGTAGGAGCCAGGTTAAAGTCTCGGCGAAGATATCAATTATTTTAGGGCTACTCCTGCAGCCAAAAGTTAGCCTGGTCGCGAAATAATACCAGTCTTTCCACTTAACGCCATGCAGGTGCCAGAGTGACTGTTGAATGGGTAGTAATTTAAACGCATTAGTAATGTCGGTTTTGCTTAACCATTGAGCCTTACCGGAATGAATGATGGCTTGTATGGCGTCATCAATTCTAGTGTATTGAAGGGAGAAATCTTCTGACGGAATTAGTGCATTCAAGCTAGGTGTAGTGGAAGAGTGAGGTGCCGAAAAGTCAATTATAAGCCTCTTTTTATTATTAAATTTCCCCGTAGCTATGCCCAGAGGGTTTGTTCTCCAGGAGGTGAAAGGTGGTGTTGTGAAAGGCCCTATCATTAAGCCGTTAGTTTCTTTGAGTAGGAGTTCATGTATGCTACTGGGGTCTGTGAGTGCTGACTGTAGGTTGGGGCATTCCAAAATACCCGTAGGGAGAGTAACAAAACCTGTGTGAAACCCATCAGTAAAACCAGATGTAAGGAATTCTACCAGATGTAAAGAAGGATAATTAGACAGGTAGTGTTGCAAATTAGGAAAGTGTATTGGAGTGGAGGATCTTTTATGGTACAGTCTGTTTGGGCACATTGTTTTAGCTTGCGCCCTGTAACAAAGTTAGCACACATGAAGAAGCCTGCAAGCACTGTAACTACAACCACCAGCACTGAAATTATTACAGACTTGTGTTTTACTCAAAAAAACAATTGGCCTGCCTAGTTCATCTCTCAGCTCTCTCTGTGTAGTATTGGATTGATACTCAGGGTTGGCGTTACTGGTAGAGGTAACTGCTGTGTTGTCAGGACAAAAGTTGACTGTACGGGCTGCTGATGAGCATATGGCACAAGAAGGCGACCCTCAGGGGGTCGAAACATTGGGACAACTTTACAATATTGAGTGAATAATTGACACGTTTGAAAAGTCCTGTGAGTGCACCTCTTTCATCTATGCATATATATATATATGTAAAAGAAAAAAAGTTAAGGACGTCTCCCCACCTCCTGGTCTCATGCCATCTCAATTCCTGTCTAAGTAACTGTATCGCACTACAATTTGGAGCAAGAAAGATGACTTATAGTGTATTTGTATTATCTGAGGGTCATTAAGCAATGGGTCCCAAATCTTACAAGTGTTTGTTAATCTTAGCTGTCAACCTATCCATCTCCACTGCTTCTGTAATTTTGGGGCTTACTGTGCTAAGTATTGGAGTGATCTATGATCCCCAAACTTTGGCTAATGTGTGGTGACTGCTATTCTGTTCACCACCTTATTTTGGGCCTAGTGATCGAATTCCACAGCTTGTAGAGCAACTAGATCCATAGGTCAAGTAGTATGTCAATATGTAAAAGCCTAGATGTCCGCTTAGGATCCCCTTCCCACAATGGGGATATACAAGGGCAGTGCCATCATAAGTAGATATAAGTATAAGTCGTTAATGCCTGCTCCTTATGATTAACACATATAGATATGGTGGCTTTTGCCTCCCAGATCTCATCAGTTAGATGGCCCCAATGTGGGTCTTAGGTCAGTCTCTAAACCAACACATAGGAAAGAACTCCAAAAGGGAGATATGTTACCAGAAGGAGATAGTTGGAGTAAAACTGGTCTTTATCTGTCAGCACCTCAATGCACATTCTCTCAAAAGCCGAGATGCTAGCAGACCCAGCAACCATATTTTCAGAAGAGTCTAGAAAGCTTTTGATCTGCATGTACGTAAAGTGGTCATTTGAAGTGAGGTGTATGTTATGTTGTGGCAAATCCCCAAAGGGTATCAGTTGGTTGCCAGAGGAAAAAGTTATAGTATCTAGTCAGGTCATTGTCCTCAAAGTGTACAAAGTCACTTGGGGACATCCCAGGGAAGAAGAGTCTGTGGCATGAGAGTGGGGTAAGAAGTGTCGGCTTATCGATAACTGATATATTCTTAGTGATCCTGTTCAATAGAATTAGACAGAGTTGGTGGTGCTAGGGGGTAGAAAACGTTTGGCATGTCTGGGGAGCCAAATATAAAGGGAGGAAAAATGAAGGCAAAACAAATTATGTTCCAGGTCAACCCAACTTTTCACCCCAATATGGGCGTGTAAGTTTAGAATCTGAGTCAGTGGTGCTGCATTTTAACAGTGCAGGAAGTGGGAAATTCCAAATCTTCCAAACCTGTTTGGAACATACATGATACATCCAGGGCTGCCATCAGAAATTGTGGGGGCCCATGACACAGCTCAAGGTCTGGGGCCTGCCCCCAAGTACACCCACAGGGCTGCCCTGACTCCGCTCACAGGGATGCAGTGTGTACGGATTGTGGTGTGTGTAAAGTGGATGCAGATTGTACATTTGTGTAATGTATGAGGTGTATATTAGATGCAGAGTGTGTGTGTAGTGGATGTAGTGTGCGTATATAATGAATGCAGTGTTTTTGTGTATTAGATGCGGTGTATATAGTGAATGCAGACTGTGTGTAGTGAATGCAGAGTGTGTTTGTGTAGTGTGTGGGGGGACATTTAAAAATAAAATATATTTTATTTCACTCCCCCTTCCCTGCTTCTTACCTGGCAGGGGAGGGGGGAGATCGCGTTCCCTGGTGGTCCGGTGGCATGGACTCTGCAGAGGGGGACCCGCAGCACACTCACTTCACTACCAAGCAGCTCCCCTGCCTAACGCTCGCAGACTGCGTGCTGCGCATAGCGTTGCCATGGTAACCAGTGCCAACACTCTAACGGCCGTGGAGCTCACAAGACTTAGACGGGGAGCTGCTGGGAATAAAAGTGTGAGTGGTCTTTTCTTAGACCAGATTAATTTTAGATTTTATTTTTAAATGATGTGTATTGCATTTCAAAACTTGATCAAAGAATATTAGAAAAATAGTTTGGAGGTGAAAGATCTTTAAGCAGAACCTGGCTGTGTAGAGAGGGTTCAGGTGATGCTCACATCCAGTGAGTTGTCCCTGCAAAGATCAGGAGAGCTATTGCAAGCTCCTAATAGGAATTTCTGGCTTTCCATATTGGAAAGAAAAGGGCAAGGATCAGCTTCTGGCAGACCCCTGGTAAGATGTCAAACCATTAGAAAACAGCTGGACTACTTACAATTGTCAGTGCCAGGGCAATCCTGGACCCTAAGCACTGCAGGGCACTGTAGTGGATACAAAAATATTAACAAAAGTATTTAACCAGGAAAGGTACATTCAGATTACTCTGGTTTTCAAGTACGTCCTGGGGATGTTACCTTAGCTTAGCCCAACATCCACGTGTTGTTACTATGCTTGAAGTGTTTAAGAATGGCTTATAATCAAGATTACCTCTTTTTCATTGCATTTTTCTTAATTTCACGTTTAATGGTCACTGCAATGGGCAAATACAAAAATAAAATACACTATTTACTAGCTATACCACCAGTGAATTGTTTCTTCTAAATGGCCTCAACTCTTCACCTTATCTAGGTTACTTTCTGACCTGATTGTCTAGCTATGTAAAAATGACATTTACACTAAGGTTTTGTTTAGAAAACTGGACCCTTCAAGGTTAAATGCCTTAACTGATCATATATGAAGTGATGGACTAGTTTAGATATTTGAAACCAATTATCGGGGTGGCAGGAGTAAACTTTAAAAAAAAAAAATATATTTAAAAATAGACTCTGGACTGTCCAGGCAAAGTGCAGCTTGTATTTAAATCCTTGGTCTGAAAGGGTAGAAAGCTGCTGTTGATCTCAGTCTGTCTTCTCTACTCATAATTCATTGTTTACTAGTTAATCAGTGTGATGTCTTAAAAGTTCATGCTGAAGCCTTAGTTTTCCCAGGTGTATGCAGAAACCCAAAACATGCTTATTGCTGTAATGCCTATTTAGTAACTTGGAAACTCTACATGAGTTTTACAGGGCTCACTAGATGGCAAAATCTACACTAAATTAAAATCTGCAAAATTCTCATATGCTTGGAACAGTTAATATATAGGGAAACAGAATACTTTAGTGATAAAGGTTAAATCTAATTTAGATGTGTTCCACTAAGCTCTAAACATTTTCTGCACTTAGCAGTCATAAATGGAGCTTTATACATTAATACAAATACGAGAGCAGAGGTATCAAACCTCTTTGCTAGGCAGGGCTATGTGCTACACTTATCTACATGTGACGGTAGATAAAACAATCATAATGGGCAGATCTTTCCTAACAAACTCCTTCCACACTAGCTAGATGTGTCAACTTGTTCACTAGAGCAGGGGTAGGCAACCTTCAGCACTCCAGATGTTGACTATATCTCCCTTGATTCTTTGCCACAACATTGAGGTGCCAAAGGTTGGCTACCCATCTTAGAGTATTACAGTAGTGTTGCAAGTGTCAAAACTAATGAATTGGTTGGTCATTCTGCTGCATGTCAAAGTATGAGAAATTGGTCCAAACTTTTTAATCAAATTGCCACACTTCATCCAGGGAGCATGCCAAACAAATCTAGGTCACAAGAGAAGCAAAGGTCAAAGACCATATTGCCAGAGCTCCAGTTGGTGGTTAGAATAAACACACTAATAGGAACAAAATTCTTTATTTGTGATTGAGGTAGGGCTCACTGTTGGGAGTTGCCTGCTACCATTGATTGCAACATATCGTTGCCTGGGTCTTTCCCACCAGATCTGTAGTTCTCCAGCTTTGATCTGTCAGATTACACTGGTCTCAGTTTATGTAATTTCCTCATCAATGTGCCCACCCATCTGGATGTCTATGTGGCAGCCCCAGGCTTATGTCTCAATCTAGACTATCCTGATCTTTTCATTTTAACACCTCACACACTTGTCTGTATGTCTTCAGGTTTGTGTTGAGCAGGATTGATCTTTGGTTTTCTAATGGATGGACATAAGCAATGATAACTTGCTGGCTCCAATTCTATTAAGTTGTACTGAGGGTTGATGGTGATCAGTCTTAGTCTTCTATCCCAAGGTTTTGAAGCACCAGGGAGTAGACAACAGCTAACTTGTGGTACTTACAAAGGTTGGAGACTGGAGCATAGTTCCTCTGGTAGTTTGAGTATCTCTGTACTGGAGAGCTGTACGCACACACGACCCAGCAATGGGAGTTTTAAACCATTATGTATACATTTTGTTTTGTACACTGTGGGATCAGAGGATTGGCAAATGACATGCTCATGGTTTTTTTTTCTTGTGGATCCCTCCATGCCTCAATTTTATGACTAAAAACGCAGGCTTGATTTGTTATTTAATAAGACCACCAGATTGAAGAAGCCATTCTGGCAAAATGCGTCTTGGACTATTTATATTACTTGATATTTTAATTGTAAGTTCTAAAAGTATTTACTTTTTAAAGTTTATACTTTTATTTTATTATATATATATATATATATTTTTTTTTTACCATCAATGTTCCTGCATTCCACAACTAAGGGTGCTATGGTCCCTACCATACTCTGCTGTTCAACTGAGCCAATTACTAGGCTCCAGGCTTGAGTATTTTTTTACCTATTTATATGAACATTTGCTACAAATGGTATCACATTATATCTTTCCTTGAGATACTGCATACTACTGCTGAATACACAAGAAAACTCCTAAATTACTCTCCATAAAGAAAAAAGGGTCAGGTCGCCTAAACAGACCTACAGGCAAATAACTCCCAGAGCTAGGTTATAGCTCGAATATGAGTCTTCCAATTTATGTATATCACACTTGTGTACATTAGGGTACTGCTCTACTTCTGTTTTTTTCTTTAAGTTATAAACAACATTGGATGCTCAAAGATATGTAAAAATACTGTGTATGTATGTATATATATGTGTTTTATGCACATAAAGCGCTCCACTGAATCTGGAACAAAAATTCTGTCGTTATTTAAAAGGTATCTAACACTTGACAACAGATGTTCAGGACTGTCATGTTGCCGTAGGAACTATGGAACCCTTTGTCCAGAAGGGCATAATATGTTTAAGGTAGTTCCGATTCTATTTAAATATTCCAGATGGTCTGGGAATTTTGTTTAGATAAGGGATACTTTATATTCTTAAACTTGATTCCTCAAAAAAAAAAAAAAATGTATTATTAAAGAATGAGTGTTCATATTTTATTTTAAATTTCTACTAACTGCATTCCATGTTCAGATTTCACTTTTTTTTTTGTTCTAAATCCTGAAAGGAGAAATGTCACTTCTCTGAAATTTAAACCATAGAATAAAACACTAAAAATCACCCATAGCTATAGCCATAGAATGAACAGCCAAATGGAGTAACGGTGCTTTACAGCTTTAATAGACTGGTTTAACATGACTTGTTTCCATATCACTTTCCATATTTTGACTTCCTAACAGATTACTGCAATTTCATCATCCTTGTGGCCATCATACTGGTCCATTAATTCAGAAAATAGCCAGCCAGAGATAGGTGTATAACAATATCTGGCTGTTATGTCTGCTATTATTCATGCTCTGTTAGTCCTAAATACTGTATAGACACAGCAGAAGCTGATTGTCTTTTTCCCTAGGATTGAGAATTACAGCCACCTCTTCATAAAACAGGTAGAGCAGTAAAAAATAAAATGTAAGTACCTCCTCCTGCTCCCACCCCCTCTAGGTATAGAACAAGAGGAAACTACTTTAATGGAAAAAAAAAAAAAAATAGTAACATTTTATTAGAGGGAGGGAATCCTGTACTGCCTCTAATCCCTAGGTAGAGAGTTTGATGGCAAGTAGAAGTGTTTTTCCCTACAATAGAGGCAGTAGTCACATGAGCATAAAAGATACATAAATAGGGTGGTTAAGGTCTTCACAACAGCTTGTAACACATGGAGGCCAAAATTGGAATCTTCTGAGGCAAATAAGTCTAAGTGGACTTCCTTGAACAAGTTTATGAAATACTAAGTAGATTTCTTACAAAATTTGTTCAGATCAAGTGCATGCCTTTGATGCCCAGGATGTTGCCATTACCTTTGTTGAATGGTCAAAAGGGCAGTGGAGGAAGAGACTGAAATAGGACAAAACAATGGATTCCTTTAGCCATCTGGCTAGACTAGGTTTTTTTTTTTTAAGCCATACATCCTCTATTTTTAACATTGAGAATGCGCAAATGTTCTGACTTCCTAAAATTCTGTTCTGTCTAGACAGCATTGTAACCTTTTACATCGAATTGGTGTAATCTGATCTCACATTCCTTGGATTTGTAGAGAATGTATATAAAATCTCTTATTTGGGAAAACCCCTTCAAATACTAAAATGGAGTATAAGTGTTTACCTTATTTTGCAGCATGTAAACTAGTCCAGAATGCCTCAACTCACCCTCCATAATGCTCACATGTAAATTGTTAAATACTATTTCAATTAAAAGTGCACGGTAGTGAATGTTAAACTGATAACATCTTAGGTCGAAATGGTTGATTTAAGTTTCAATAAACAGAATTTACTTACCGTAAATTTTTTTTCTTAATATGGTGGCAGTACATGTGGGATATAGCAAGATCCCTAACCCAGGCGGGTCCAATGTCACCCCAGGTCACAACCTTTACGCCCAAAGGCAGTTTCAGAGGATGAGGATATCTCTAGCCTGTAGAGTTTAATGAAAAAGTGGGAAGGCAGCCCCAAGACTGTGCCTCACAGATGTCCACTGGCAGAAACAAGAGCTCTTACTTCCCCTGAGGCAGCCAATAGCCCAAGTGTAAAGAGTCATTCGAGCTTGGAAGTTACCATTGTGTGGAGGCCATCTTGAACGTACAGAATCAGAACCTTGTATGGCCAGAATGGAATAAGAACCAGTATAAGACTCCGACAGCCCTAATTTTCGAAGACAACTTTGAAATAGCGTAAGACACATGCCAGCCTGACATTACATTACAATGAGAGTTATTACCGAGGGACCTGCTCTGAACAGGGAGGTGACTTGGGGAACATTGTTATTGAAAGGTTTGCCACCAGTGCTATGTCTGGAACACCAAATTTCCTCTCCAGACTGTCAAATTACATGGACCTACAAACTTTGATTCCAATTTCCCTTTCTGAGCTAGGTCATAGTCAATCCCTCTGAATAGAACTGCTGAAATATCTACTAGATAATTTTGCACCTCAGCAAGATAACCGCATACAGGCGAGAAAGAGCGCCTACTCTGGTTCCTCCCTGCCGGTTGACGTATCAAAACCTACAAGTGTCTGTATGAATCTCTACGCCTTACACCATATCCATTGACTGAAGAGGTGAAGGGTGGGAAGCACAGCTTTAAACCCCCCCCAAAATCTGCGATTTCTCCCTTGACCATTACCACGAAACATGATGAGGACTAGATAAGAGCATCTGTAGTGATCCCAACTCTTTAGACGGAAGACAATTCTCAAATTGAAAAACGGATCCGCTTCTACCAACTCCCTTTCTTCTATGATAGAGGAGAGAAAAACAACAATGTGTTTGACTTGTTCATGAGATCTAGGGACTCTTGAATAATTGCTGGTAGGATTGTCGGCGTCAGAAATGTTTCCCTCTGTTTGCTCTGCTCTTAAAAAAAAAAAAAAAAAAACCTATTTACACAACTTTATTTGCTCCGTATATTCTTAGTCTAAATTGTGTTAAGATTTTCTTCAAGTGAGACCCAAACATCTTCTTACCCAAGGGAAGTTCACAAATTATCGATTTTGATGCGGTATCAGTTGTCTATGATCTTCACCATAAAACTACCAAAGATTTGCAGTCAAAGAAAAAGGGATTTTCATTAGACAACTGCAAATTCTAGAACGTTTGAAGCAGAGGTGGAATTGTTCTGCAGTGCATTGAGCAAAAAAAAATAAAAAAAAATAAAAGAAAATCTCCGGTTATGGAAGCTCCTGCAAGTAAAGCTGTCTGATAGGTTTGCCCTGAAATCACATACCTTGTGGGTGTCTCTTAACCGTCCAAAATGCCTGAGATAGTCACATATACTGAATCTGTTCAAACAGAAAGCATACTTAGACAACCTATGCTATATACCAAGGTTACGCAGCTCCTGTGGATACATATACCAAGGCGGCATCCTCACAGAAGCTCCTACATACACAACCTAATGAGGATACATAAACTGAGGCAGTAACCTCCTGGTCACTCATCCATAGAATATCTAGTGAAGACATACTGAGGCCCTGTCTTCCCAGTACTCATACATAAAGCATGGAGGATACATAGGCTATTACCTAGGGCATGATACTGAGGCTGTGGTCTAAGAACTCATACATTATACAAGTTACATCTACTGAAAACAGAACCCTCAAAGACTTAGAATAGTGCATATAGTGGCTACATCTACTGAAGCAAAGTCCTCACATCACATCAACTCGTCAGATGATATAGTGGATACATATCCAGAGCAAATCATGGGTACAAATAATGAGGCCGAGTCCTCCTAGTAACTCATACATATCACCTATAGTGGTTACAAATACTGAAGCAGAGTCCTCACATCAACTCAGTATATAGTGGATACATATACAGAGGCTGAGTCCTCACAGTAACTCCTAAATAGAGCATATACAGAGGCAGAGTTCTCATAAAAACACATTCATAGCGCATATAGTGAATACAAATACTGAAGCAGAGTCCACACTTCAACTCGTCAGAGCATATAGTGGGTACATCTACTGAGGCTGAGTCCTCATGGAAACACTACATAGTGCATTAGGTGGCTACATATCAACATGTCAGAGAATATAGTGGATACATCTATAGAGATGTTGTCCTCATAACTCATACAAAGCCTATAGTGTGTACAAATACCGAGGCCGAGCCCTCAGAAACTCATACAGAGCATATAGTGGACACATACTGAAGCCAAGTCTTCCTAGCCACACTTCATAGAGCATATAGTGGGTACATATACTGCTCACAGCAACTTGTACATAGAGCATATAGCAGAGACACGGTCTTTGCAGGTGATATCAGCCCTATGTCCATAGGGTTTAAATGACAAAACTCACTATAGGGAAAGCGGTCCAAAACATTACCCATCCTGAAATAAAAGCTTGTTATCTCCGTTCTCTTTTCCACGTAGCTTCATATGTAAATTAAGTGTATAAACTTTTATAGAGATCATTTTGAAGGAAAGATTAATCTTACCTCAAAATGCCTGAGCTGTGGGGGGCTGGTGACACTGCGTACCACTTCTGGCAAGCATCCATGCAGTTAGTGGGTACTGTACAGCTTCATCTACGCTGAGCATCAAATTTTGCTGCTTTTTTAAATAAAGTTTTGGTATGCGCATGCTTATTTGTGCCACTGGAACTTTTGGTGGAATGCATCACCTCCCGGGCGTGCGTTCCACCGCTGTGCGCAGGCTTCCATCAGTTGTACCTCTGCCTCCAGGAAGTACTCGCTGAAACCCTCTCGGCATAAAAGGAAACTTATCCACTTGCTCCGAAACCATAACAGAAGGAGCATGGTTTCTCAGCTAACCGCCCAGGCAGCTCTTGGAGCGGATTCCCCAGACCAGCAGCCTGTGTGTCTCTCCCTCCAGATGCTGTGTCCTTCCCTCTCGGGACAAGAAAGGAAACTTGGGTAGGTTTTGCCGGATAGCCCTTTTATAGGGCAAGAGGAGGGTTTGTTGATTTAATCTTGTTAGATTCTTGTCCACAGGAAAGGAGCAAAACCCACATTTACTGCCACAATAGGACAGAAAAAAAAATAAAAAAATCACAGGGTGCTAACTGAGCATGGGTCAGCATCTCAAACGAACAAGTATAAAAGGAAGAGATCTCAGTCACTTACTGATGACTCAAGTAGATTTATTGGACACCGCAACGTTTCGACCTGTACTCTGGTCTTTATCAAGTTTGATAAAGGCCTGGGTACAGGTCAAAATGTTTTGGTGCCTCTTAGCCAAAGTGATATTCATAAAATTGTCTTCCATGTCAATAAATGTTTGAAAGGAGGATCACAATGCACATAGGACAATATTAAAATACCACAGAAGAACCATTTCTGAAAGGGAAGCATTTTGTTGATCCATTTTACAAACAGAACTAGTGGTTCTGCAGCAGCTTTCCAGAAAAGGCAAATTGTTGTAATCTTTAAGGAAGCATATTTAAGACTTTTAAAACCCAGGTGGAGGAATTTAACATTACGTGCAATTGATCCCAGATGGTATAAATATACACATAGCTTTGCATCAAAAACCAAGTGTTTGCAGATTTAAGTACTCTTCCAAAAATTTTAGTTGCAGTCCATAGTGCTCCATCAACCTCAGGACAGGCAGAAAACTGAGGTATATATGAAAGTGGCATTGCTTACACTTTGGGTGGGATCAGGAGGTGGTTTTTAAAAGCCTTCGTTTTCAGTGCTCTGCCTGTGATGTAAAGGTAGCTGGAACCAGATACAAGTGCCTCCTACACAATATCAGTTAGAAAGTGGTCCACACAATTTGTTGTACAATATCCAAATTAATTCTGTACAACAGTAGAATGACCTTATCCCCAGCCAATAGAAACAAAGCCGATTTCCTATTAAAGAGAACAGAATACATTAAAGAAAATGCCAACACTTATCAGGGTAGGAGTTTGTCAATGTTTTATTTCTATACACATTGCACCATCACAGGAAGATGACAGTAGGTGCAGCAAGTTGAGGTCCAGCACTAAACAGGTGATGCTACAGACCTGTCCCCCATTTTTCTGCTGTTTTGAAGTCTTCTAAAAATACCAGCATTTAATGGGTTAAAAAGTTTGTTTGAACCACTCGTGGTTTCCTATCTTGAAAAAGGTTAAAAATGAGGTAAAAACTGGCCATCAAACTACAGATTTGCATTAATTCTTTCCAAGAGCTTTGTCAAGGTTGTTCTTAATGGCATCCAGGAAGTCTGTTGTGTTGACATAATGTTCGTTGAGCCGGACACTAAAAAAAACAACAAGTATACATTTTACTAGAATTTGCAGAGCGTTTGATTAGTGCAATACATATACATTATATATCTGCACAAATTCTAGCATGTCAGCTTTGTGTAGGAAACTGAAGACATTCCTACACTATAAAGACAATCTGACAATCAAAAAGTCAGTATTCCAGAATGTGTGCCATGTTATTTCAACAGTTAATGAAATATTGGCTTAATTGCATTAAGATTTGTCAGTGCTGTGAGAATTATTTTTGCAAAAAAAGCAATAGCTATGCTTGCCATACATTAACCACTTTATTATGATGGCCAGTATTCAAGTTTTACACATGTAGTAAGCAAACCTAAACAGCAGAAAAACTTCAGTTTAAGTCCTGTGAGATGTGTTATTGCACTTAGAAGTTCCCATATACCCGGAATAAAACTGGTCAGGTCGTTTTGAATACCAAAACCTATTCTTGAATAATCGTAGCTTTTTGCACCATTTTCTGTGGCTCATACAGCCATGTAGATACCAGGCAAGATAGGGTACAGATAAGATTCAAAGTTTAAAGGATACTGTAGTGCCAAGAATACAATTTTATTCCTGGCACTACTGCTCCCCCTGCCCAGTAAATAAAGTGTTAAAAATATTTTCAAGTGCCAATGCTCTGCCCCTTCAGTCCCTCGACAAGTGAGGTCTAACGCACATGCGCATCAAGTGCCATGCACGCATTATACCTCCCCATGGGAAAGCATTGAATAAATGCTTTCCAATGGGGAAAAAAAAAATCTGACGCTGGAAGTACTCATGCAAAGCACAAGGACGTCCAGTGACAGATACCAAACTAGAAGTCCATTATGATTCAGGAAGCCATCTAGTGGCTGTCTGTTAGAAAGCCACTGAGGGCAGACTTAGAGCTGCAATGTAATGGTATGGCCCATTTCCCATACCATCTCTACAATTGAACGCTACAACTTTAAGGTACAAATTGAAATTCAGAAGATGCTCCACCCGACTTCTCTCACCTTTGCCACTAGATTACTTATTTTTAATCTTTTCATTTTTTATCTATACTGTACTACTGTAGTATCTTGTACTTGAAGCCACATGCATTTAATAATCTGGCTGTTAAGATTTGATTGGCAAAATTATAGTTGACTGTTTCTTGTCCCCTCCCACTACCCCCATGCCAACTACTCCTAGCTGTAAATACCTTGATATATCCGTTTAGCTCTACTCGCTAGGCCCATTTCCTATACCATCTTTACTGCAAGCCTCTACAATTCTTGGCTCTACTTCTCAGCCAGGTCAAAGAAAGCCAACCGGTAATTATACAAAATTACTGGCTCAAAGAAATGTTTGCATCATTTAACAGGACATTTGGGCAGATAACGTGCTTACATTAGGTTTCATTAACTGTGGGTGGTGTAAAGTGACATTTAAAATAAGCCCCATCTTACAGCTTCTGGCTTTGCTACATGTGTTACCAGTGACCGAGATGGTCTGCTTTTAGTAATGGCATATTTGCTTTGAGTCTACAAGAGGGCAAACTCAGCAATGTAGCATGCAAGCAGTGATCTCACAGAACTAGTTTGGCATTTAATTGTCACAGGTAGCAAGATGTATTTTGTAACGTTAGGTTTACAAAGAACAGCCTTAGAATGCTTGAGTACTTACTTGCTGAAGCCTCCGTGAATACATCCTGCCAAGTCTTTTGTCATGACACCGCTTTCAACAGTCTCCACACAAACCTTCTCTAGCGTTTGGGAGAATCTGGGGAACAAATTTCACTGTAAGATAAGCACTTTCACATTGCTGCAAATGTTTGTGATAAGAGCAGCACTACAACATGTTTGAACATCAGGGTCTGCATATGTAATGCAGATAGTATTTAACTGCTAAGGTCTATTTAGAGCAGTATTTTGGACTTTGCATTGCCACTTTACCCCTTAATACAATTAACATTGTAATTGTGAGTTAGTACTATATTACATTATTTTTCTGATGCTCCGTTGAACTGAATACATGACAGTCTTTGATGCCTGGATGTCCAAGGCCTGCACTGCATATTTCAGCATATAAGCACTTAGAGTTGGAGGGGAAAAAACCCCACTTACTTGATCAGGTCTGGATTTCCATCAAGCTTGCCTCTGTGTTCCAAGCCTCTTGTCCATGCGAAGATGCTGGCAATGGGATTTGTACTTGTTGGCCGACCCTAATAGAAATGCAAATGTGAACACTAAATGCAAAATAAGCTAGAAGTAGCCAGGTTAATTAAAAGAGTGGTTACAGCAATACAGGATAATGAGGAAGAGATGCATGTTTAACTTGTTTAAAGACTTTTCTTAAATACCGATTCTGAGGCCAAGGCACAAAGACAAACCCTTATAATTTACTGCTCAGTCGTCATACTTTAAAAGGACACTAGTCACCAGAACTACAGTTTATATTTGTTCTTGTGAGTATAATCAGTCCCTCTGATTATTGCAGTAGACACTGCCTTTTCAGAGAAAAGTAATACACCCACTGGCCACTCAGATAGCTGCTAGAGGAGCTTCCTGGAGCATGAGCACTAGCACTGACAGTGTCTCCACCCTCTGCATGGAAACACTGAACTTTCCTCAGATGCATTGAATCAATGAATCTATGAGATGCAGACTGGCCAGGGCTGTGTTTGGCTTGTGCTGGCCATGCTATTTTGCCATGACAATACAAAAAAAAAACAACTTAATGTTAATAAAGTCAGTCAATGGAGATTGGTTGAAAGACTGATTTTTATTGTACATTTCCAGGATGTGCATTGTAGTTCTGTGACGATCATAATCTGCAGTCTAAGTTGCTAAAGGTGCACTCCACCACATGGAAACTGAGCTGTACCTAAAAGCATTTAGGAGTTGCCCTGTTGTGTCCATCTCTTGTGACAAATCACATGATCTTCTATATATTTTATTTTACGTAATCTGAACTGCAGCTGTTCAGATCAGTCTGATATGACTTTTCAAAGAAACCATGAAGAGTTGTGTAATACTCCTTACTGTTGACTGGAATATCTAGCCAGGACATTTCACAAAGTTATTTTTGCAAATGTGGCATTCTATCACAGTACAACACTTGAATTCAACAATCTCAGAATTACCCATTGTCCTTCAAATGTTTGTAACTGCAGACTGCATGGATAGGTGCTTGATTTTGTACACCTGCGGCAATGTGATTGAAACACCTGAATTCAATAGTTAAGAGGGGTCCCAATTCTTTATTAAAAGAAGCTTATGCAGACCAATATCAAGGCAGCTAGTTTTGATCCATGGTAGGAATACGTTTATTTTGAACAGTTTAAAGCAAACTGAAGAATGTTCCAAGTAGAAAACCTTATAAAGCATGAGCTTGCAGGGTGTTGTGTCATGGTGGCCATGCTGGACTAATTGCCATACCTTCTGGTGTTCCCTGTAGTGACGAGTTACTGTTCCATGAGCTGCTTCAGCTTCAATAGTCTTTCCATCTGGGCAAACCAGAACTGATGTCATGAGACCAAGGGAACCAAAACCTGAAATGGCAGAGTAACGTGTCATCACCATCTTTTAAATGAGATAACAGACCAGTACTCAAAAAATTAGATTTTCTTTAAATATAAAAATAACCCACAAAACAAAAGCACCACAAACCTTTCCTATCCCATTTATGCAGTGCCAGATTTGCTTTCCATGTTATTTGCAGCACCTGTTGCCATCTGTCTATATTTGTGTTCATTTCATAGTGAATGCAAGACATGCTATGCGTGTGACAAGTTAATTTTCAAACCAGGCTCTATTCACATTGAGATAGTGTTTAAATATTTTGTAAGTTGATTTCAGAACAGACCTGCCAGTCATCTTAAGCAAGCCCTGGAACAGTCATGAAATGAATTCCTAGTGTGGCTAAAGTAGACTCAAGTGACAGGACTTTCAGGAATTGTCAAGTAAAGATGGGCAATTAAAGTAAAACTAATCCCATCAAATTCAGCCGTGTGGCTAGAAGGTGCTTTATTGCATTACATGCTGTGTTACCAGCTTTTTAAATGAACCTTAACTTTAGTAGTAATGAATTGGACAGTATTGTCTAGCACCACTGATATCAAGCTTACCCTGAGCAAGAATGTCAGACTGAACATCACCATCGTAGTTCTTGCAGGCCCAGACAAATCCTCCAGATGATTTCAGAACTTGTGCCACCATGTCATCAATCAGTCTGTGTTCATACCAGATCTTCAATTTGTCGAATTCTGGTTTGTAGCCCCTAAAAGACAAGTCACATTCTGTAATAACATTGTTATAACTGGCATCATACTTGCCAATCCTATTGGACAGTTAAGATAAAAGCCAGATGGAGCAAAAAAATATATAAAAAATTTAAAATGTGTATCAGGAGTTTCTAACTTGATCTGTTAGATTTGATATCTGGTGTTGAATTCACCAGTGTGATATTCTGTACGATTCAGTTCGACAATCTTGCTACACTCCAAAACAATCTGACTGTCCGCTTAAATACAAATTCAGACCAATAGAAACATACTTCCATAGAATGTCCATGCTGCAGAGTGTCCAGGAAACATTTTAACTGCCATGTAATGCATGTAGGCATTTGTCTTCTGGTGGTTGACTACTTTGGAAGCTTCCATAGCCAACAACCAAATGCATACTATAGGAAGCGGAAATTGTTCAGAGCGAGACAGCATTTTCATAATTACATATACTCCTTTTCCACAGCTTTGAGTTAGCAGAATGGAGATTGTCAACAGAATGACTACCATATGTAGTTCAATATTGAGCTCCAAATCCACATGCATTATTCCAGAGTAAAGACTTACTGCTCAAAGATTTCCTGGAAGATGTCCTTAAACCTGCCATCATATGCCTTCAAAATGGTGTTCTTTGTGCTCATGTAAAGTGGCCATTTCTTCTGAATTGCATACTGAAAGCAGCTGTGTGCAAATCCACTGATTGACTACAACAACAACCCACCAAAAAAAAAAAAAAAAAAAGATCAATGAATGCTTAATTGTGAACATTGCTGACTAGTTTGTTGTTAGTTTCCAAACTTCTATGTGTCAGGTTAGTAACCAAGGCAGTTGAAAGACTGGTTTACTATGCATAGAAAAGGCCTTAAACTGCACATATATTGAATGAACAGGACAGACAAGCCAGTGCATGCAGTTCTCACCTCATCTGTGTTGTACATTCCCATTCCAACGCCTCCTGCTGGAAATTTGAATACTTCCCACTCCTTAGCAGCAGAGCCATCAGCAGGTGAAAAAACCATCTTGAATGTGCCAGCCTGATCTACAACAAAGTCTGTTGCTTTGTACTGAAGTAATGTAGAGAAAAGTCAACCTTTAGAATATTAACACAGGACATGTAAATGCTAACATTGTAACTATGTTACAAGCCTATTATAACATTGTAAACATGTAAGTCTACCTGGTCACCAAAGGCATGTCTGCCAATTGTGATTGCTTGTGTCCATCCAGGAACCAGGCGAGGAATGTTCTTACAAATAATAGGTTCACGGAAGACTGTTCCACCCAGGATGTTCCTGATCGTGCCATTGGGACTCTTCCACATCTTCTTCAGCTTAAACTCTAATGAACCAAGCAAGTGTATTTATTATGCAATAATTGAAGATATTAAGAATATGCTTTGACACTATTGTAATAAATTTGAGGCAAATAAGTTCAATAACTGAGAATACAAGCAGTATTTTCTGCTATATTCAAACTCCAGATACAACATGCTACAATGTGCAAGTATTAATTTTGAATATTCGATCAAGGAGAGGCCCTGTTATATAGCATCTTCGTTCACAAGCTGTCGCCCTGCAGGAGCTATGCATCTACATTATTGTAGATACAGATTGATACGCAGACTTCTATGTTTTGAATACATGACCCCCACATGCACCATTATGGCAACAAGGAAATCACGTTGAACCCCATATGCCTTTTCACATTTATGTGGTGGATAGCTACCTAGTGTTAGCTTCCACATGGCTGGTGTTAACCCTAGTGCCGCTGAGAGTTATATTAACTACTTGCCCGATGCTAGTAGGCTAGTCACTTAAGCGCTTTAGAACTGCACTTTAGAACTAGAAAAATACATACAACTACCTACTCTTTAAAGTTTTAACTGTGCACATACCTTCTACTCGAGCCTCGTCTGGTGTAATTGTGGCACATTTCACAGCAACATTGTATTTCTGAGTTGCCAGAGCAGAGTCTATTGTGACCTGGTCACTTGTTTGGTCACGATATGGAAGCCCAAGATCATAGTACTTCAAATCCACGTCTACATTGGATAAGATCAACTAAAAAGAAAGTGCAAAATCTAAGGTGAGATCAGAAATACACACCCCTGCAATTCATGGTAGTAGTTTGCCATTGCTTTGGACAGACTGCATCTATATTTTTTCTATCCATATGACCTACAGAAAGTAGTGTGGTTGCCAAGTCCTGCAGAAATGCAACATCCTTCACTAGAAGCCACATGTTTAGAATGGTCTGTACCAAGAATTGTACAACCACTTAGGAAGATCACTCAAGTGTTGATTGCTGGATGTTCAAAGTGAATTCAACGTGAATTGTGTGTTTTAGGCAAAAAGGTCGAAGACATAGCTACATTTTGGAATTTTTCCAAGTTTACTGTTGGAGCTTAAAGTTAAAGTTTCACAGTAGTTCACACTTTAGTGAATAGCCTTGTAAGCAAGACAGTATTAAATGAAGCTGTAGTTTTTTTTTCTAGGAAAAACAAATAAAACTATGCTAAAAAAGATGCAGGATCACAACTAAATGTTGCAAAAACATTACAACTTGTAGATATTATATGCATATATTCAAAACTTCGTCAGCCTGGAAATTATACTAAAAAGCACCAAACGCTCAGTGGCATAATGAGACCTGCCCTCTTGCTTTGTAACACATGCCATGCATGAAAGTCATCCATTAAAATCTCCTTGTAGAATACACCTACTTAAAGCTATGGTGACATGAATACATTCAGTGACAGCATTGTTCTATAGAGCTTCCAATGCTGCAGAATAATATTACATGTTTATTCCAGTAACCACATGAACTCAATTGTCTGTACAATAAAAAAGTCAATGGCCACAAAAGGCTAAATACTGCATGTCGAATTATATTTAAAAAGCCTTCAGTAAGGTTGAGTATTCCAGAAAAATAGTGACCAAAACCTTACATGCCACTATTAAGTTATATTTATTGGATAGCCAACATGTTAATCTACATATTTTTAGGTAAGGTCTTTCAAAATAAACTGGCCAAGTCTGGGCTTTTCCCTAAGAATTTCTGATGTAAAACAGATAATAGTTACAGCATAATGAACACTACTTCTGCAATGTGTCAAACTGCTGCTTAAGCTAAAATATACAGGTATACTGGTACTTTATAGAACCTTAATTTATGCTAGAAGCACAGTGTGTGGTGATTTCTGTCCCTTTACTTAACAGCTACTGAAGCAGTGCATTTCTATACCTAGATCATGAATGAAGACCATTATATGCTTTTTTAAATAAAGTTCTAAGACATTAGGTTTTGAAACAAATTTGGGCACTCTGCAAGCATACCTTTTCCTTGATGAACTCCCAGATGATACGAGTCATCTCATCACCATCCATCTCAACCACTGGGTTGGCCACCTTAATACGTTTGTCTGCATCTGCAAAAAGGAAATGTGAACATTTTAAAATATAAAAATCAGTTTCATTATGTTAGAAGCACCCTTTACCAGACTACACCCACAAAGTATGTTTACGTTATAGTGAAGTTGGACATTACTTCACATGCCAGAACTACTTTAGATGAACAATTAAATTAAAAAATGTTTAAGATGGATGGAGAGGACAGGTAATACCAGAGGAAAGCGTATTTCCACAAGCCTAGGCAAAATGTTCCTTATTTTAAGATGTGTCAGATCTCAAGACTACATTGTTTTTGTAAGCTATGTTTTCTTATTAATGTGCACAATTACTACCCTATATTTCTAAGTGGTTATATTAGACCAAGATACACCTGGAACACTATATGGTAAAAAAGCACACTAACAGGAAATAAACTACACCAATACCAAATTTCTGATTTAATATTTCTTCCTGTGAATGTAGTAGTTCACTTTCCAATATTTGTCATGTACTTCAAAAGTCAGTCTGACCACCACAACTTTTCCTTTTAGAGTCAATTACAACAGTGGCTTCTAACAAATTAGCACACTTAGAATAGGGACCCATGAATCAGCAATGCCCAGCATATGGGCATGCCATGCATTAACTCTGCCAAGCATTAGCCAAAGCAATGCCTTGGTTGGTGACTAGAGCGGTCACTGCAGCCTGGTTTCTGTTTAAACTGGGCAATGTATGAACTGCTATTAGCTTATTCAGCAGTTCCACAAACATTTGACTGGTGGATCCTCTGTCTGGCTTGTCTGCTGCTGCCACACTAGCCAGTGCAAGAACTGAACTGTTTGGTAAAAAGGACAATATAGTCACCAGAACTACAACTTAATATGGTTCTGGTGTGTATAATCTGTCTCTGCAGGCATTTTCATATAAACATTGCCTTTTCAGAGAAAATACAGTGTTTGAATGACTGCCACTGGAGATGTCCCTAAGCAGTAATAGACTGCCACTAGAGGTGCAGAACACATGTAGATGCTGAATGCTCTCCATAGAGATGCACTGATTCAGTGCATCTTTATAAGGATATTTGCATGCATGCACCAGTAAAGTGTTTTTCATGCTATAGGGTCAGGAATTCACCTTTGTATACCTGACCATATAGAGTTCCTTTAAGCTTACATAATTCTAACCCATTCGTCATTATGTAGAGACTAACATGAATGTGTCCTTAAAGTAGCAATCACTTCATAGATTATAACACGTGCTCAATTCTTTATGCACACCAAGTTATGAATGCAGTGGCATCATTAGACTTGAGGGTACTTTACAAATTGAGAAATGCCGTTAAGGGGCAGGGCAGCACCACATACAGCCACCTTATCCACTCCAAGACAGAAGTGCATATTAGTCTATTAAATCTACATAGGATGGTGAAGTCACAAGTATAGGTAAAATAATGAGTCTCTACTGAGTCAAAGATTACCACGTGTTCAATAGCTTCTTGGAAGACAGCAAACTTGAAAACAAAAGGTTATAAGATGACAAATCATTCACTGATTGTGAACCTGCTCTTATAACATTGAAAGGACTGTTTGGGAGAAAACTGACAGTAAGGGTAGCACAAAGACATGGAGGGCTTCAGAGTCTACCTAAAGCAGCATTAGTACGTGCAAGTCACCAATGAAAGTCTGATCAAACTGCAAACTCAAGCCCTAGTTTTCAGGGAAGTAGCAATTTGCTTCCTTTGTGACCGCTACCATGCAATACAGTTTCAGGTGAGGTCCCCATTTTAAAAAGAAATAAAGTTATTCCGGAGATAAATCAAGAAACTAAAAGAAGACAGCTTGACAAAAAAAAAAAAAAAAAAGCTTACTATACAACAATTTCAACTATTCTAGTAGTTTCAGGTATTCTAGAATTCACCTGTTTAAAGAGACTACAGTCATCAAGTGAAATGTAATATTTAAGGGCTTTAATACAATGTGCCAACAACAAGCTTTTTGTTAACCTTCAGCAACCTATAGTCCTAAGCTTTTAAGTGAGCATTGGGTTAACAAAACATGGTTGAGATAATCTGAATTTATGCAAGAATGTTTTGCATACCACTACTAAAAACCACTAGCAGCCAGAAGCAATCTTGAAGGAGCCCAGTTAACTTCCCATTGCACAGTGTGGGAGTGATGATCTAGATTTCAACTACCTCTGGCTGAGAACGTGGGAATCGTTTGCAATAGTTTTCTGCATGGTGTTTCTGTAAAACAAAAAGATTAGCAGATCAGTACACTTTATAAGTTTGTGCACATTCTGTATGAGAACCAGTTACAGTGACTGCTCTATGTCATCTGATCACATAGCAGGCCTGGTAACATGGTTTATTGATCAAATGCAAGACCTGCCCACCTTCGTTGCATTAAAGGTTATGAGGTCTTGTGAGCACACATCTATATCTTTGCAGCCTGCTCTTATTGAAGTTCTCAGTACCATGGCTTTTGCAGGTTTTTTTCTAAAACAAGCTACACTTTACTTGTGAGTTTATTATGCAGACATGCAGCTGTAATTAGAGTGATCAAATTAATTTGAAGTGGTCATGGTGTCTGGAGACAGCAGTGCCTCACTTAAACACTACACAGATTGGTACCAGCTTGCTATGGGTTAGACAGCCAATGGCAGCATAGCCCCCACCACTGCGCCATCTATTTCCTCTGCTCAATCTGTCCTCCCCTCCAGTGAGAAGGAGTGGCATCAGGCATAGAGGATCAGGCTTCAGGTAGAACCTTGAAAAGTTAACAGGAGTGTTTTAGCACACCTCAGAAAGGGTTAGTCCAGGGTTTGACAATTCTCAGGCCCCAGGAAATTTGTCATGTTTGTCCTTGCACCTTGGATTTGTTAGCCCCTTCAGCCCCCAATGTGACAGGCTGCCTGAGATTGGAGGCACGCAATTGGTTCATATAGGGCTGAGGCAGGCGGCTCACACAACTCAGGCAGGCAGCCAGCTCATGAACAGCTGTGGAAGGCAAGGCAGGCAGCTGACCAAATACTACAGCAGCAGCAAGCGAGCTGTAATCTCCCAGCTCTGCTCACTGGCACTCCAGTGATGCCAGGAGCTGGGTTATCACAAGACAGCACTCTAGGGCCCCAGGGAAATCTGATACACTTACAGCTCTCCCAAAGGTAGCAAGGCTGAGTGAATTTAAATTAAAGGGACACTAGTCACCAGAAAAACTACAGCTTGTTGCATTTGTTCTGTTTAGTATAATCATTCCCTTCAGGCTTTTTGCAGTAAACATTGTTTTCAGAGAAAATGCAGTATTTAGTAGCTGTCCCTAGGCTGTAATGTAGAGGTGCCTCCTGAGGCAGTGCTGCACAGTATGCAACACTGCCATTCAGTGTCTCCACCCTCTGCATAGAGACACTGAACTTTCCTCAGAAGTGTATTGATCTGATACATCTCTAGGAGGAGATGCTGATTGGCCAGGGCTGTGTTTGGCTTGAGCTGACCGCCCCTGATCTGCCTCCTTGACAAGCTCAGCCAATTCAATGCTTTCCAGTGGGGTAAGCCACTTAAGTCAGCCAAGTAGGCAGAGCTAGCAACAGACTAAAATAAGGTAAGATTTTACTATATTTATGGGGGCCGGATGGTGGTTTTAAAACTTTAGGGCCAGGAATCTAGGTTCGTGTTCCTGACTGTATAGTGTTCCTTTAAAATAAAAGGAGTAATTTGTGAGTGCATGTGCCAGTGAGTGTGTACTTCAAGGGTGTCTAAATAAAAAAAAAAATTGCAGCCTGTCAGGTTCAGAGACGTTTGGGGATTGGAGGCTTGTGTTCTTTCCTGTTAGGCTTGTTTAATGATCTAATTGCCTTTGTATGTGCCTAGATTTTCTTTGCTTTAGGTGATTTTTGATTATGTTTTTATTTGTACTTTAATAAAAGGATTTATAAGTAATTAAGCCTAGTTTGCATCCTTATTTTGTAGATACATATACACAAGCTATGTTATTAAGTTTGTGCTTACAGTATCTTAAACCACATGTAATCATTTGTAGCTAGTGCAATCACAGCAGTTTAGTCATTTTTACACCTAATTAAGCATGCATAACCATTTAAACTATGTCAAAATTGGCCAGTTAATATTGTATTGGTGTGTTATTCTTCAGCAACCCCTCTACACTCTGCTCTTGACACCGCCAGGTCTCATTTCTGTGATTGTGACATGGGGTCTTGAAATTCCATTCTAGTCACTTTTCCATTACACTGTCCAGACATTTTAGAAAGCTTGCTTTATGCCTCTTGAAACAAAGCAGTGGTGGCGGTATGTTGCTTTAAGGTGAAAGTTAGACTCAAACCTTGTTTTTATTAATCTGTGTGAAGTCTGACTATAGTTCTTGAGATGAAGCTAGTATCTTGCTGGTTTTTGATGTTAATAGCGGAGTGTTCTAGAATGTCCTGGTCTCAGCCTGTTCCTCTATATACATTTGTTAAAGATGTTAGGTTGTATCCTGCAGTTAAACTGCATTCCACATATTCCAATCTATCAGATTTGGCATCTGTCCAAGACATGTTAGAAAGCACTTTTTAAAATTTTCTACAGATTTTCATGACAATAACTAACTACACAGGAAACATTTTATTGCACTAGACTAGTCTACTAGGATCTAATACGTATTCAAGGTTTTCAATGGCTGCTTCAGACACCATTATACACTTTATAACCACTATCCTAAAGAGGATTTAAAAAATGGAGGAAGCAGGAACAGAAAGGGCTGATTCAAGATGCAAAATGCTGCAACACATTTTCAAGAATACAAAAACTCTTGCAAACTGCCATTTCTCCAGTTGGACAGCTGCCTGTGCCACCTGTAAGAACAGGAAACTGAGTTGTAGTTCAGTTAACAGCTGTGCATAGATGCAATGTGCAGCACTGAAATTCAGTGTCTCCATGCCAAATGCTCCTCAGATGCATTGATTCAATGCATCCGAGATGCAGACTGGCACAGCACGTCATTTTGTCAGGCATGCACAATAGTCCCCCAAAGCTTTCTTTAAATTATATAATCTGAGCCAGGGAAGTCAACTGCAACAATACCTGTGCATTGCTTGAAAAAAATTAAAAATAGAAGTTACACCTTATAAAATAGGGCCTAAACAGCACACTTAAAGGAACACTAGTGTTAGGAGTACAAACATGTATTCCTTACACTATGCTTCTAATCCTTTATCCCTTCACCATACTTATCGTTTTTAAATTTCAACTGACCACTTGGTGAGAAATATCTAGAGCAGTTTCTCCTAATCTACACATTAGCACAACGTGTAGATTAAATTTAATGCTCAATCTAATGGGCATAACAGCTGCCCTTTAATACTTAATTTTCTTAATTGAATTCAAACATACTAACATTTAATGGATCTGTTCAAATAAGACTCCTATATAAAACATGTGCTGCCCACAGTGGAAGGATTGATAATCACCAATAAGCACTGCATTCTACTGCAAGAATAGCAAGACATGGTTGCTACTGCTTAGTCACCAGAATCAGGGCATCCATATTTGCTGTGTTTTATAAAGTGCATTAGTCTAGGCAGTGAAAGGTACAGTCTGTGCTTGGCTGCTGCTTTGTTGATATTGGCAGTAACCATGGTAATATTGAGCAAAATGCTAACACAATAGACAAATGAGCTATCGTTCCAACAGCCAAGGTATTAGATTTCTTACAACTTAAAGAGGATATTCCAGTCACTGAGGAATGCATTTAAGAATCAAGCAAAAGTGTCACATGCAGAAAATGCAAAGAAATCTTTACTACCTCTTGTCCTATCTATTAGAGATGCTAGAAAAGTCTTTCCTCAGCTTTACTGTGGGAGAGTAGACTATATATGGACAAGTGTGCCCATCATTGATCAGAAATGCTAAGCGAGTATTTTTGCTATTAAATCAGAGCATTTGCCTTTTCTACTGATATGTTTAGCATTCTACTGCACTTACAATTACAGGATCACAGTACTTCCACCTAAAACAATGCAAGGGCCATGAATGGCTGAGTGGTCTCAGCCATTCCTAGTGTCTTGGAAAACACCCAGTAGAATTTGTCCAGCTAGGAAAATAGACAACAGGAATCAGTCTCCTTTACGTAAGGTTTATTGTATATTTGGAAATGTATTGATTTCAACGTGCTATGGAAAGCATGTGCCAGCATCAAGCCTCGTAAAAAAAGGTCCCTACCATACGATTTCTAGGTAGGAGAATGTAATTAAGACTGGAGAGACTCTCAGGTCTCATTTGAGCATGATAAACATTGATTTGACAGACGTGCAGGTCAGTTATATCAGGTCACAAAAGAGGTATTGGACTTGCAGATCCCTTTGAGTAGAAACATGTACGTAACAGTATGAAGAACCCATGTGTTTGTCCCAAGTTAGTTCTCCGAGTCAGTCTTAAGACAGTCTCATAGTTAAGGGTATGACCATGTACGAGAGTGGTGATAAAGGATAGAAGAGGGGGCAAAAGGGGAAAGAGGGAGAGATGAAGGGGGTACGCTATATATATATATATATTGGCTACCATGAGGTGACTTAGTGTGTGATGCTGTCCTAGGGACTGAGTTTGCTGGCAAAATCTGTTTTTGCCATGTCAGCAGCCAATGTGCCCAAATGTCCATGTATTTGTGTTATCTGACAATGTGCAAGTCATCTATGGCCCTCCGTTCCTCCATCTGTGAGAATCAGGCAGTCAACATGAAGGCTTCCTGATTTTGCCAGTATTAGGGAATGATCTGTTTGGCTAAGTTTAGGATTCTTATTGTGATCATCTTTTTGTATCTGGTGCTCTGTGTTGTCATGTGATGTAAAAGCATCACAGCAGGGTTGAAGGGGCAACTTGTCCATGAATTATTTTAACATGTTGATACCCTTCCAGAACAGCTGAATCTTGTTGCATTCCCACGATATAGGCAGGGCCGTCCCCACCGCATCTCCAGCATTGTGCAGGGTGGGCTGGTTTTTGCGTAAAATGTCAGGAGTACGGTACCAGTTAGTAAACAATTTGTAAGCAGTCTCTAGAGTTTTACTATAAACATAAATTCTGCTTTAAGTAGCATATTTTCTCCCAATCCCCTTTTCTGAACCTATGGTTCAGAGACATCTCCCATTTCCCCATAAATTTCAGTGGTTCGAGTGGAATAAGCATTTGTAGCATGGAGTATAGGAAGGACACGCAATGCAGGAGCAGCTCTGGATCAATGCATGTCTGTTCAAATTGTGTGGGCGTGTGTTTCAGTGCTTGTCCTTGTGGTAGTGTTTTTATAAATGTTGCCAGCTGGTGGTATTTAAAAAGTCTGATGAAGGTCTGGGGCAATTCCCCTAAAAGGTCAGTGAGGGTTCTCATCCCTGTGGTTATTGTATTTATAAAGGCTGATTCTTTGCATTAAACACTGTTCTTTAAAGTAACACTAGTCATCAAAACAACTTTAGTTTAATGAAGCAGTTTTGGTGTATAGATTATACACCTGCAACCTTGCTGCTCACTTCTCCGCCATTTAAGAGTTAAATTACTTTTGCTTCTGTTTATGCAGCCCTAGCCACACCTCCAGTCTGTGACAGCCTGTATGAAAACAAAATGGTTTCATTTTCAATCAAGTTTTTATCTTCTGCTCTGTAAAATGAACTTTAAACACATACAAGAGGCTCCTGTATGACCTACCAAGCTATTAACAGAGCAGGAGATAAAACACTCAATTAAACAGAATTTGCAACAAAGGCAATTTAAACATTAGACTTTTCAGGAAGTGTTTAGAAAGACAGTCACACGCAGGGAGGTGTGACTAGAACTACATAAACAGATTTAACTCATAAAAGGTAATGAATTGAGCAGAGATTGCAAGGGCATGTTCTATACACCAAAACTGCTTAATTAAACTAAAGTTGTTATAGTGTCCCTTTAACTATTTCTCAAGGTTATTTACACCCCACTAAACAGCATGATCAAGATTACTTCGTTGCAACTGTGGAAATACACTAGCAATGTTTGTATCATAATTATCTTCAGTCTATGCGGTCAGCATGCTTTGTTCGTTGTTTTGTTACCATTTACAAAATACTTTAGATTCAAGGGACGTGCGATTTGCAGCACATTCAAGGGGAGGAAAAAAAAAAGCTATATGCAACATTAAACTGGACAGTTGGAATAAGTTACCATATTTTTCTTCCCACAGCCCATGTTGCAGCTATCTGCACCTGTGCACTGATAACACTGCTATTTTACAAACTGCTAGGCCTTTTGTGGTCAGCACAGCCCTGAAGGTCAAAGCAATCCAGTGGCGGAAACCGAAAAGTTTCAGTAGTTTTAACTGGTTGGTCACGCTGATATGCAAACACTGATGTCAACTAGATTCAACTACAGTAGCTAGAGATCATGTAAGTAAACATGATATACTGAACTCCTACCTAGGTATTAAAGGCCCCATGCTAGGTCCGACATAAGTGACCTTGCATGAAGGGACACCAACCAAATCACAACAGGACATTCTCTGAAATTAAGAATCATAAGCTCACAGGTCATTTGTGTAAGAAAGCTGGAAATAGATTATCTCACGGGCAGGGCCCTTTATTGCTTTTGTACTGGAGTGTCCATACAGCTTAGCCACTATCCCTGATTTTAGAGCAGCGTTGAATATTTTATTGCTTTATTAATGCACATGATATAAAGGGTTTCCATAAGTTTTCCATTTGTGTTTATTCACACAAGAGTTCCAGTGAACAAACTATTTTAAAATGTGTGCTACAGTAGCCAAATGGGAATAGTAAAGTAAAGGCATGCTATTTTAGCCTAAATGCTGAAATTTTTTTGCTTTTTTTATTCCTTATAGTGTTCTGTTTAGGTGATAATCTTAGAACTATCAAATGTTTGAGCTATTCAAGTATGGGCCTTCTGAATATGTTCTGCCATTAAGCAGACGTTACACTGTCAATTAGTACTACATTAAAATGCAGACCAAACAGCTGAAAATTATACCTCAATAGGAGGAACACTACAGCAATCCATAGGGAAATTGGATTTTATGTATTAGAGGAAAGATGGTGATAACATTACAAAGCTTTACTCAGTCTTGCAGCTATGTGGTCCAAGGACATTGTTAGCCATGACAAAAAAAGTCTATTGTCTACATGGAGAATTTAGATTTTGGTGATTTGAAGAGTAGTAGCTTGTTAAATTAATTTTTATACATCTTGCAAAGACACCAGGGGCTATATAGATATACAGCTAAAGACTAAGCTCATTGAGGCTGCCACATCTCAATGCAGGTACAGTTGCATGTAGCATTCTTGCCAATTCAGACACTGAAATAACACTGCATTTACCCTGTGTAGTGAGAAGTGCATGGAGGCGGCTAGGACCATGTAAGGAAGCAGATGGCTGACCTGCAGCAGGCAGTCTACGTTATTTCCCACTAGCAGCTCATGGACCCTTTATACCATCCCCCAAATAGGAGGAGTCTATACATGCAGAGCTATCTTTACTTCACTGTGTAGAGCAAAGCCAGTGCTAGAACACCCTGGGTATCACAAGCAATAGAGGTCAATCCACTACTCCATGACCTCAGGCCACTAGTTTCGCTCTTTCACACCAGTTACAAAGTATCTCCAGTTAAAAGGCCAGGCAGCATTCCAATGAATGAAAAGCAGGGAAGCCATTCACAGGCCGGCCGGCCGGCCAGGACAATAGGTTTTTGTCAAGGGAATCCCCATTCACACAGCCAGTCACAGAATAATATGGGCAGCGTTTAAAGATTCCAGTAAAGATACCATTTAGTTTAGCTGCCCATAGATAGGATACTCCAATCACTCACTGGAGGCTGGCTTGCTCAGTCATTCACAATGCGCCTACATACTCTGCAGCGCAGTACAAAAGATAGTGACCCTTAGGATGCACATTGAGCAGTGCATGAAGTCAGCGAGCAGATGGTCCTAAACCTGGAGGTCCAGGACTGCTGGGACAAGGCAACTGCCTAGGGGTGCCCAGGAAGGGGCGGCAGAGGAGAATGCACAGGGCAATGCTTTGGCCTCAATACCCAATACCCGCAGAGTGAGGGGTGCTGGCAGAGGGCGAGCTGCCCACCGGGGGGGCTGGCAGGGGGCGAGCTGGGGGGGCTGGCAGAGGGCGAGCTGCCCACCGGGGGGGCTGGCAGAGGGCGAGCTGCCCACCGGGGGGGCTGGCAGAGGGCGAGCTGCCCACCGGGGGGGCTGGCAGAGGGCGAGCTGCCCACCGGGGGGGCTGGCAGAGGGGGCACACTCACAGTTTCGCTGTTGCTGCACTTGCTGGCTGAGGGCCGGTCCCAGGACCCCGGGGTTCCTGCTGAAGGCGGCGGCGGAGGTTTTGCAGACGGAGCTGACAGCTCTCAGGTAGCCGGCCATGGTTATGGAAGCAGAGAGGGGGGCGGGTGTCAGGTTATTGTATTGCTGTGATATGGCTTAATGCGAACACTGGGCGCCCTCACTATAACCCCCGCGCGTCCCGGCTTCAAGGGCGCACACGTCAGCATCCCGGCCATTTATAGCGCCGGTGACGTAACGTGCGGGAGGGAGGTGGGGAGGAGCCGGGCGCGCGCGCGCGCGCCCCCCCAGCGCGACTTTTTTTCATTCATTCATTCATGTAGTGAGTAGAGCGTGGAGCGGCGACAAGCGCGCGCTCCCTTTCTGTGCTATCTTTAGCGCTATCTCTGGGGAGGGGTCACGTGATAAGGGGGGATTTCAAATTCAAGGCCGAAGTAATCGAACTGGACATTTTCATGATTTGGAAAAAATTTCCAGTTCTGCTGTTTTGGTCTTCAATTTGAAACTCACATCTGAAACTAGTAGCGAATAACCTTGATAGCCGGGCCATTTTAGCCTGAATTTCGGTTTTCAGTTCATCACAATTTAGCATTTAGGACAGGGGTCCTCAAACTCCGGCCCCCCAGATGCTGCTGAACTACAACTCCCATGAGTCTTTGAATTACATAGATAGCCAGAGAATCATGGGAGTTGTAGTTCAGCAACATCTGGGGGAATATTATTATTCTTTAGCTGGTCTGCTGTCTGCATGTAACAAGCCCTATTCATTTTGCAGACTGCTTTTACTGCTTTATCATTCTTATCTTCACTCTCAGTTTCGTGGCCAGATAGCAGTCCTATTCCAGCCTTGCAGGGATTTTTCCATTTAAATTTGGCTGGCTGAGCATCATAGGCGATGGTGGCTGCAGCACCTAGATCTCCATGTGCTTGTTTTTATTATTGTTATTAAGTCAAAAATGAATGCACACCAAAAAACCTTAAGAAATCTCTATGTAGATTTATTAAATCAATAATAAGTATACATTGCTGTTACAACAGTTAGTGACACAATATAGGCTACAGATAATAAACAAAAGTATTTACCGCAATTCACAAGCCTAATCGGGCAGAAACACGAATCAAACAAACAAACCCCCCAACGTTTCGGCTCCTCCTGGTAGCCTTTATTAAGGGTGTCTCGAGTAGTCCTCATAAATAATTTGAGGTCTATACTCCATTTTTTATATGTAAACAATACAATTCCTATTAACCAACATGCTCCTGTATCTCATCTTACCCCATTTCAAACAAGCACCAGCGTTTCTACTTTTATACTTAAAAACGAGAGAAATCTCAATGTATCCTTCCTGGTAAAATATTTTATAATTGAAAATATCTCTGACAAAGAGGAAGGCAGCTCCAAGTTGTTGTAGAATCTGGTGTAACAGCTGCACGGATCTGGCAGTTGTCACAGAACAGTTGTGCTTTACATGTGTAGGACATTTCCAAGGTTAAACTTTTTTTTCTCCTCTGTGAAAGGTGCCCTGTGCTAAAGTGAGTGATGATAAGGTGTGTGCCTTCCAGCCCCTCCCATCATATATTTCTACGTTACTTCTAGTTTCACCTAGTAACTTCTCAATGTCATAACCTTCTCACTCTCTGTGCTGGCTAGAGCACTAGCCTGTTATTTTATTTGGAAGTTCACATGACTGATATTTTCCCCACCTAAATGGTCACAGACAGGGCAGGTCATAGGCATGACAATTCAAAAAGGGTGTTCACGTAAGTGAGAATCAAAAGTGAATTTCAAACTTTAGGCCAAAGTTGCCAAAATAGAACGATACCTGGCTTAGAGCTGTTTCTGATTTGGTTATTTTGATATTATAGCTGAATTTCACTTTGACTCCTGGGCAGCAGCTACTATTATTAATTGGTTGAAATTTCTGATACAGCTAAGGAGAGACTTAAGAAAGGAACTTGCTGTCTCCAGGAGAGTGTAGAGGGACAGATTGGCAGCAGAGGCTGTCCTGGAGTGTAACTCCCACTAATCTCGAGCAGGCTGCTTTTTAATGATCGGCGTGACATCGCTGACCATGCAGTACAGGATTTGAACATCTATACACACTCCTCTTTAAACCAGATTTAAAGCATAACTGTCATGATTTTTCACATCCAAATAGATAACTAATCCTTTATTATAGGTTGTGCTTTTTCCTTTCCTTATTTTTTTTTTTTACATTCCAACTTTTGGATCAACAGGAAAAACAGATGTGAGAAAGGCTAAATTTGATGGATGGATGTCTCTTTTCAGCTATGTAACTATTTTTTAAATACATTGTACGTGGAATGTGTATTCTAGCACATCCAAAGATAACATGCATATTATTAGCAACCATGTATTCCTGCCCCTATAGTGTTTAACCCACCTTATAGGTGGCTTTCCCCCCCTTAGTCCCCTTTAAAGGAATTAAAACTCACCTTATCTCCAGCACTGCGCTGGCGTGCCGGCACTGGCGCCGCCTCCTTGGTGACTAATCATAATTGCCAATTTTTAGCCCATCCAATGCTTTCCCATAGGGAAAGCATTGATTTGGATAAAATCAGCAAGTGAGCAGGGCCAAATACAATTTTGGCCAATCAGCACCTCCTCATATAGATGCATTGAATCAATGCATCTCTATGAGGAAAATTCAGCGTAATGATGAGCGTGGAGATGCTGAACGGTAGTGCTGCCTACTGTGCAGCACTGAGCCAGGAAGCACCTCCAGTGGCCATCTGAGGAGTGGCCAATTAGAGGTGTCCCTTTTCTCTGAAAAGGCAGTGTTTGCATGAAAATGCCTGAATGCAATTGATTATACTCACCAGAACAACTACATTAAGCTGTAGTTGTTCTGGTGACTATAGTGTCCCTTTAAAGGGACTCTTCAGGCATCATAACAACTTAATCTGTTTGTAGTCATTATGGTGTCTGGAGTACATGGGAGCCAGAGCCTATGATAAAAGCTAAATTGTTACTCACCATTTAGTAGATGTCAGCCTGCAGCAGGGCGTCTAATGATAAAATTACTCTAGCAAAGTTATGCCTCGTTTCCACTGAGCGAAACGGTTCGGGTCGGTACAGTTTGGAAGGGTTAGAATCGTCCAGCCTATTCAGGTGAGCGTTTCCACTGCAAATCGGACCGCCAGGGGCCATGTGGGGTTTAGACCAAATGTCTAGTGTGTCATTTGTCGTGAGCATTGACGTTTTCCTGACCGCCAATCAATGGATTGTATAGTGTGACGCTAATAGCTCCGCCCTAACCGTACCGTAGTATTTCCTATGGACCTTCATCTGAAGGGGGACCAGGAATGGTGTGGTTCGGTTTGGTTGTATGAGCCACTTTCATAATGGAAACACTCAAAATAGCGTACCGAACCAACCCGAACCGTTACGCTCAGTGGAAACGATGCATTATACTCCGCCTTATGCTATACCAGGGCTGGAAGGTAGTGAGAGCATGGACTGAGTTCTCTCAGCCTATCACTGTGCCCAATCCCTAGAATGGATTGGTAGGACATGAGGCAGACTATAACTCTCTGCTACAGCCATTTCACAATCTAATGCCATACTTGACGCTGCCTGGGATTAAGCATCTCTACCAAACTTTACTAACAGTAAGTATTTCATAAAGATTTGATGAGGGACCCAACACTTGTGGACTCCATGTCCAATGACAACTTTAAACTCCACAGTACTGTATGCAAGGGCAAGCATGCATGCATTCTTCAGGCATCTCTCTAAATACAGGGTATCATGTATAGAACATTGAACTATCATATAATATATTTTTTATTGGATTAACAGAATTTTGAAAGAACAGGTTTGCGTTTCCAAAATTATGCTAGTGTTATAAATAATGCATAATAATAATGCAGCTACTCATACAGCTCTTTAGATCATCATCTGCCAACATGACGATTTCACAAATCAGGTCTTTTAAGGACACGGGCATAATGATATACAGGAGAAAAGAACAAGTACAAAGGGTAAAATGCTTAAATATTCACACTGGATGCTACTGAACTGGCAAACGTCATTATAGGAAGGAAAAGTAAATGCCAGTAATATATTAAGTGCCTTTAACCCTTTATGGAAAAAGTTCCCTTTCAATTTATTTATATCCATATTCAAATGTACTACTGAATCTGTTTCCTGAGTGTGGTAAATGAAAGATACTGGGTTTAGCAATACAAATTTATTTTAACTAGTTACCCTACATGTAAGAATCTTTTAAAATAGTTACAGAATCTGAAAATGGATGATTTTATGTTTTTATTAGATTCTTGTTTTACATTCCTATACATTCCCGATACAATACTTCTGCACCTGGGGAATGCAGTTATTACTTTCTGGCTACTGGTCTAATGCTGTTTGTAATAACAAAATTGTGTAAGAAATGATTCCCAGTGTCTTCCTTCGGAATGTCTGGTCCAAGCTTGACTTTTGACCAAGTGTTTTTTCATTTGTTTTTGTTTTTTGTAGGAACTGTCCCTCAAAAGACTCACAGGGATATCCTTTTTACTTTTATGCAGAAACAGCCCCTCTATAAGACTCAAACAGCCTCTGTTTCTCTTTGTTTAACCCCTTAAGGACCAAACTTCTGGAATAAAAGGGAATCATGACATGTCATGTGTCCTTAAGGGGTTAAAAACAGTCCCTCTTTTCTATGAGCTCAGATGTATATGGTGAATGTATATTAGTGTATACTCCAATGAAGTAAATCATACAGTATTGAATGTTTCAATTGTGCCAGCAGTGGAAAGAATGTCATGGCGTCACTATATATAGAGAATTAAAAAAATGTTTATTAAAGGTTATGTATAATGATTAGTCATGGGAAAAAGTCTAACAAATGTCCAAAGGTGGTCCTGTTACTCACTGGTTTGGTTAGCTCAGTGGAGCTAAACTCAAGAGGCAGCCAATTGCCCAGAGCACCTATCTTCTCATTGAGCTGCATTGGGAAGTCTGAGATTGGACAGCCACAGAAAGTCTTGGTGGGGAAGAAGGACAGCTATTGCAAACTGTTGTTAGATTTGACACCAATGAAAAAATGCATGTTTAAATCCATGTATGTTTTTATTTGGGATATATCTACTAAACCGTGGTTTTGTTTGTTTATTTATTTATTTTCAAATAGTTATCATAAAATTACCAAAAAACTCAACTTTAATGCTTTAACCTCCTGAACAACCTCAATGTCATCCATCTAGAAGGGG